GAGTGAATTTAATAAGAGGACCCATGATAGTTTTGCCACTTTATAATTCATACATTTTCAGTAAAAAACTTAAAGTTTGGCAAATGACTCTCTATTTTGATGTCCTAAGTAGCTAAATGGAAACACCTTCTCTTAATTTTGGGAAGAACTTAATGGTGTGGCTTGCTAATTTTCTTACTTTTCTTTTCACTACTTACATATTATATTTTTAGAAAATGAGATCTGGACTTTTACCGCTCTTCAGAACATATGATGTCATAGGTTGAATTAAACATGTTATCATTTATTCTAAAGTGTATTCTAAAACTTTTGGTGGTGAGGCAGATAAATAGAATTAACTGTTTGAAGGCAGAGGAGAGAAAACATTCTGGAAAGGTTTCAAACATACCACTCCAGGTGTAAGCTTTTCACTCTTGCTTTATCTTCAAATGGAAGGAGGGGAAGTTTGGAATAAAATGGCTTCTGAAGGAAGGGTATTTTAATTGCACCATGAAGGCTAATGAATGGGACCCTAAAAAGGCAATTTTCCCCATAGTCTGAATTTGAAATTCTACGTGAAGTAATTTGTGAAGGTGCTGCTCTTCTCTTGATGGAGGGACCTTGACTGAGGTCAACATCTCTAGGTAATCAGAGGTTTTCCCACTTGAGACCTGAGCAGTACCCTCCTTTCCAGTGCAGAAGGCTCTACTTAATCAAGGACAGCAGGTGGGCACTGAGCCCACAAGGGGCCTTCACTCTGCCTCTTGCCTGTTACCTAGACCTGTTCTAATCCCCACCTCCTGGTTTCTTCTGCACCATGTCTTCAGAGTCTCATCTGCAATGGATTGAATATTTGTATCCTCTCAGATTCATGTTGAAACCTAATCTCCAGTGTGTTGGTTAGGCAGTGGGGCCTTTGAGAGGTGATTAGGTCATGAAGGTGAAGCCCTCATGAATGTGATTAGGGGCCTTATAAAAGAGATCTCAGAGAACTCCGTTGTCCCTCCTATCATGTGAGGACACAGTCAAAAGACTTCTCCAGACACAGAATCTGCCAGTAGGCATCTTGATCTTGGACTTCCAACTTCCAGAACTGTGAGAAATAAGTTTCTGTTGTCTATAAGCCACGCAGTCTATGGTACTCTGTTACAGCAGCCTGAATGAAATAAGACAGCATTCTAGTAAAACTTGGAGGTTTGCAAATTTTGCTTTGGAACCCTTCAATTCAGGTCCTTCAACAGATCCATACAGAGCACCTTTGTGTTTGCCAGACACTGTGTTGCACTCAGATTTCAGTGATCACTAGAATGGACAAAACCCCAAAATGCTCCCAGGGCATTTCATTTTTTTTAAGTCTATGTTTGGTACATTTGTTTACACCACGAATTCGACATGCAGTATTTGTAAAAATGTGTGTGTATGTAGAATTCTTATATTCTCAAATATTTAAATCCATCAGAGGAATTTATCCTTTAAAGAGGGGTCTTATTAAAAGTACTTTATTTTTAAATGAATAATCTCATCTAAGTAATTTCCTATATTTCAAGTTTGGTTTCCTAAAGAGATGTATATTTATTAATTTATAAAGAAAGTTTTCACAGAGAAATGCACATTCCATTTGGGCCTAATGGACACCTACCTGGAATGTAGGAAGTTGCTGGTAGTCATTGGAATCTTTACACAGAAAATGTTTTTACCAGCCATGCAATGATAAAAGGCAACCACTAGTATTCGCTGTGAGCACACTTCTTTGGTCCAAGCTTTGCTTTCCCTGTGGGCTTTTGAAGCTTACCAGCCAACACCATTTGCCGGTGCAATCTGCATTCGTGCTCTAACTGAATCATAAATTAGTTTGATGGACTATTTTAAGTGTAAATGGTAGAAGAACAATTAACCGGGATGTTTCCTTTGTTCAGTACACATCTGGGGTGTAGGGCACTGACTGGCTGTTTAATCCTCTGTATCTTTAAATATCTTAGATTAAGAAATTTATGCTCAGGCCATAGGAATGACTCTTCTTACATTTTTCGTAATGGAAAGAATATTGGATTTAGAGTCAGAAGACCTGGAATCAGATTCAGCTACATCTTACTAGTTCTGTTATACACGGTAGAAATGTGAAGAGCTGGCATGGGAAAGTTTCTGAGAAAAAGTAACTGAGAAGGCCTTTGTCTGGAGGGCTGGGGAACCACTGTTGATACTTTTCTGGGGTCACTGGATCCTGAGAGACTGACTCTCACAACTACAAGGGTACCTGGGACTGTGTTAGGCCTGAGATGTCTGTTTATTAAGTTATGCTGAGTGGGAAGTGAGATTCTAATCACAAGGATGGCTTGGCAAAGTACCAGCCAAAGAATGTGGATGATTTTAGGAAAAGCCCTTCAACTAAGAGAGCTTGAGGAGCTTCCCCACTATGCAGAGAGCCTCAATAAAGGGACCACAGCCTCAGAGTCTCTGGGCCACCATAGCATCTCCTGTGGATAGTAGAGGATTCTCACCGCGTCTCTCTGCTCCTTGGCTCCTGCTTCCTTGAGCTTCCTTCCCAGGGGGGCGTGCTCTCTCTGTATGTACGGCCAATTCATTCAAACAGGTTAGATTTTGCTGCCCTCAGTCAAATGGCCTTTAGTAAGTACATCTGTGCTGTGATTTGGACATTCATCTTAGGGTTTCTATCCCATTAATAACCTAATTAGTTTAGCTTTATGCTCTATCAATGGTAACTTATATTTCTAATTAATCTGTATTACCTATGAATAATACTAACAGTAGCTAACGTTTATCAGTGCCCATCAGTGCTGGGTACTCTGCTATGTGCTTTGTATAGTTCAGCCTCACTTAATCCTCACAATAACTCTATGGGGGCATCTGCTATTCCCACTTTATTGGAGAGTCACAAAGGTTAAGGGACCACCCAAGTGGTAAATTGGAATATGAACTCAAGAGATTTCCTCCCAAGATCTCAACAACTTGACAACTCTTTGTACCATTAAGTGTCTGAGTTCTGAAATCCGGCTTTACAAATGTCCCTGTGGTGTGACCTGTGTGTGATCAAGGCACTGTTAAATTCTGAGTGGTTGGACTTATTTTTTGTTAGAATGTCAAATGCTTATGGCATCACAAGAGTGCATATTTCATAGCTGCCTTTTCAATGAATTGATGTTGCTTGGGTTTTATATTTTATATTGTACTTAATAAAAAAGCTTTTAAAAAAATGTTATGAGAAAATATCTGAAAACAGCAGTTGATAGATTCTGATGATGATATGCTGCCAAACACAATGGCTTACTCAGAAAAGGGAACATATCACTATATAGTAGTTTCCACAGATCAAACTTTTATGAATGCAGTGTGCACACATCAAAGTGCAAAAGCACGAGTTCTGAATCATCATATTGCAATCATAGAGGCGTGGGTTTACTGAGGATTTAATTTGTACCAGATATTGTTTTAAGCTCTTTATGTAATTAACTCACATAACTCACATCACATAATTTGTACCAAATATTGTTTTAAGCTCTTTATGTAATTAACTCACAGAAGCATATGAGTAGGCAATATTTTCATCCCCATTTACAAATGAGAAAACTGAGGCCCAGAGAGGCAGAGTGACTAGATCCCCACAGCTGGTAAGTGGTCCAGCCTGACCTGCATTCTCAGCCACTATGCTCTCCTGGTTGGTAATTGTGGCTCTTAACTTGACACTGTCATCTATTCTAGAGGACTTGATTTCTTTCAGGTCTCCTCCAGGCCAGTCTTCCCTAGAAGACATGGTGATTTGCCCTGACACCTAGCAGAGATATGGAAGAGTTTAGTACCTATGATTTATGATCCATATTTTAGATTTAGACTCTTGAGTAGCAAGTTTTGTGCTTGCCGAAATCCTCATCTGTAAACCCCATGACTGTTGACAGAGGGATATAATAAGCCAAATGTCAAAGGGAGTTAAAACTGTTTAATGTAAACATAACACAAGGAGGACTTCTCACATGATAAAAAAGTGTATATAATAGGTCTTATTTAAAAGCACAGAGAGAAGGTGGCTTAATGATGTGGATGAAGGTGATGGTGACAGCTCACACTTGTGCAGCACCTGCTCCAGGCTAGGTAGTGTGCTCACTGGAGTACAGATAATAACTTATTTACAGTAAATGACCCGTAGCAGTCATCCTAGCTTTTAATGACAAAAATGGGACACTTGAGCCCTTTAGGAATTTTCAGAAAGTGATAATCAGGACAGGTTCCCAGGAATGGTAAGTGAGGAGGGGTAAGGTGGGTCCACGGAGGCTACGTCTTCTTAACTGTGTGAACTTGGGCAACTTACTTCTCTCATGCTGTTTCTTCATGCCAATTATTTGTAAACAATTGTTCCTACCACAAAGGGTTTTTATAAAAATTAAATGAGATAATACATAAATACATGCACAGAACACACGACACTGCAGGATAAATGTGAATTTGCTACTGTTGTAGTCACCATTTTTATGACCATGGCCTCCTCTGACATTTTCTTTCTACTAGCAACTCTGATATGCTGAAGGCTTCGCGTCTGTTCCTTAAGGCAATTCTCAGGTCATCAGTTACAATCCTGGGCCGCGGAGAAACTGTACCCGGAACCCTTGCACCGCCCTTGTACCTGGTACCACAACTGCACCACGGTCCCTGCTCTTAGCACGGACGCAGGAGCAAACTGACGTGGGCTGGAGCGAAGCGGAGACCCAGAGACGGAGATAAGAGAGTGGCAGCAAAAGAGAAATAATTCGCAGCAAAATAGAACTCGCGCCTGACGCAGGGGACCCCTTGTCACTCACCATTGTTGGACCTGGATCGAATTATTTCACTTTCCAAAACTGAGCGCGCGACTCCCCGCGGGGCAGGAGGCCGAGATGCATCCCCTAGCTCCAATCCCGCTCCCCACTCCGCCTCCCGCCCACCCATTCCGACCCCGCTCCACGATTGGTTGACTAGACCCCGGGCCGTCGCCGATTGGCGCTCGCCGGCCAGTCTACGGGGTTTAAAGAGGGGGGCGGGGGTGCGCTGCCCAGCTGCTCAGCTGTCCCCGCCGCGTGCCTGTCTCTGTGTCTGTCGCTGTGCCCACTGTGCGCCCGTCGCGCCGTCGGAGCTGGGCTCGCAGCCTTGTGGGGTCTGCCGTCTCCTCCCGCGTCCCGCACCGGGCCGTGGCCGGCCAGCTGCTCGTGAGCGCGCGAGAGCGAGGACCAGGCGGGCGCCGTCCATCCCAGTGCCCGGGCACAGCTAGCGAGGAGCGAGGCGCGGGGACGACGGGGAGGCCACGATGGTGGCAACATGCCTGCAGGTAGTGGGCTTCGTCACGAGCTTCGTGGGTTGGATCGGCATCATCGTTACCACGTCCACCAATGACTGGGTGGTGACCTGTGGTTACACCATCCCCACCTGCCGCAAGCTGGACGAACTGGGCTCCAAGGGGCTGTGGGCCGACTGCGTCATGGCCACGGGGCTGTACCACTGCAAGCCTCTGGTAGACATCCTCATTCTACCGGGTAAGGACCCCTGCCTTGCTAGAGGCTGCTGGTAAAACCTTATCCTCGGGGCAGACCGGAGAGGCGGCATTAGATGGCGTTCGGAGAAATACTTTGGGAGCTTGAAGACCTTTGGGCACCTTCAGTCCCAACTTGTAGAGGAATTAGACAGCCCTAAACTTAGAAGTATTCATCCTCAGTTTTCTTACCTAGAATTTGGGATGATAGACGTGGCCACTGGACTATTCACCCTGACAAGTTTATGAGCTGAGACACAAACACACAGTCTGAGCTCCGTCCGTGTGAATTACTGTCGCACCACCTGCCCCATGCTCCCACTGTCGAGTGATCAAAAGTAGTTTTTTCCTGGCCCGGCATCCTTCCGCAGGCGCCACGCTCGCAGAGGGCAGAAAGAAAGAGAAATGCAAGCATTCCAGCGATCCGAACGCGCGCAGGCTGTTTCCAGGTCCTTGTGGGCAGAGTGAAGCCTGCTGGCCAAGTTAGGGCCCTGCTAGCTCGGCTCGGTCGGGGCCCGAGACCTATTTTATTTCCCGTACCTCTTGACCCCGCAGTGGGGGGCGTCGGCCCGCCGGCCCGCCGGCCCGCCGGCTCGCTGTGACCCCCTCGCGGTCTCCGCGCCGTCCGGTCGGATAGGTGAGAGCGGGCGCCCCTCCGAGGGCTGACTTCCCCTGGGAGCAGGCACGCCGCAGCGGACCGCCCGCTCCCCTCCAGCAGTGTCTCAGAGTGGAGAGGGGAGGGAATTGCCTGGCCTCTATCCGCCCCGACGCCAGCTGGGGACGCCATCTTCATTTGCTGCCCCGTTGAAAAATTCTGGGCCACAGTTTCAAGTCAGATTTAAGTCTCGAGTCAGTTGGGGTGACCGGCGTGGTTGTGGCGCACCCTCCGGTTTTCTGTTCCGAATCTCTGTCCTGCCCTGCGGGTGTATCCCAGCCCTGACCTGTCGTCTGCCATTGCCTCCTGAACCTCTAGCCTTTGAGGATGGCACACGTTTAAAGGCCTATCAGGGTTTCATTTACAAGCAGAGTAACTGGGCCCAGAGGCTTCTGGCCTTGTGCCTTCTTCCAGCTGAACCTTTGGCTCCCGGAGGCTGTGTTCCCCACTTAGGCCTCCCCTCAAGTGCCTCCTATTGCCCAGCGCTTGTAGTCGGAATCAGTGTCTCCTTCCTCCTTCCTGCTCTGGTATTTTATTCTCATCCCCTTCAGGGTGCATTTGGACTTTCTTTGTTCATTGTTTGTGAGCCAAGTTCTACCACATCCTAAATTCCTCAAGGATATAGATGGCTTCCTGTCCTCTTTGCATTTTCCCCTGACCTGGGCATTGCCAGTGGCACAAGCAGGTACCTGCCATGCAGTCAGTCCTGCCCTTCACTCTCTTTTCCTCCATTTTGTACTCTCAGCATGACAGAGGCAGGGGGAACCCAGCTCTGAGCCCATCTTCAGTTAACGCGGGCCTTGGTAGATCTGGGTCAGATTCCGGGATCCAGTATTCACAATCTAGCTGATTTAGTACAAAAAAAAGTTACTAACCTCTATGAACCCTTCTCGCTTCTTTTAAAAATTAAAATCAAACCAACCACCTATCTCTCAGAATTGAGAGTAAATGAGATGAGAAATGTAAACCTCCTTTGATGCAGTAAATGCTCCATAAATGGTAGCTAAGTATTTTATTAAAAGCTGGGCATGGTATTAGTAGGAATCTTTGCAGCATAGCATTGCTCTCTTCCCCTGAAGTTAAGTTTACTGAGCATTCAGGGCCAAGTGGTTTATTTTCAGAAAACACAGACCATCCCCCAGAAAAGTACATTTTAGAAAGACCTAATCCTAATCCGTGCTTTGGGTGGAGACAGAGACAGATCTGTCTCCACCTTTTGATTTTCAGACCTGGCTTCAGCACCTAGCAAGTGTACAGCTTGCACATGGGCTTCAGAGCCTTAGTCGTTAGTTGACTGTCTGCTCTGTGTCAGCTGTAGCTCTCCTACAAGCCACAGGTGCACGCAGCTGTGGTCTGAGGTCCAGCCTCACATGTCCTGTGGCTCCTGTCTGGGTGGGTCTCCAAGTCAGTAGATACTTGACTGATTATTGATCATCCTTAATTCTGAAGAAGCTGAGAAGGGCCATGATTGGAAGAGTGCACTTGTGGAGTCTGAATTCTAGCAAAACATGTTTTGTTAAGAGACGGGGTTGCAGTTGGGTCTCGGTGCACAAGGCAGGCTTGCCAGATTTGGTGTGAAGGTGTTGGCATGTGAGGCAGAAGTTGGTGCTTATTTTTGGCTTTGCTATTAACTCTGCCCACCTCTGCCAACCACTAGCTCTGATTCCCTCTGAGGAGAACAGGGAAAGGAATAGATACATCTTTTTTTTTTTTTTGAGGAGGTAGAGTGTTTTAATGAGAAACAACACATTTAAGTCTGCCATATTCTCCCAATGTATTATCAGATTTATTTTACATAAGTATTGCATAAAGTGTAATCTGTTTCTTATTAAAGTTGTTGCCTAGCATTTTATTTGACAGAATAAAGTTTGGGTAGTTTTACTCCACTCTTAAAATTCAACTCCTATGTTCCTTCATTCATAATTGTATGTTTACATCATTTGCTGCGGGTACCATATTAACTCCATGCAGAGCAAGGCAGGTGTCTGTCTTCTAGGAATCCCCAGGGCTGGAGAGATGCCTTTATGACAGTAACAGACCATAGTGGAGGCATGCCTGGGGTGCTGGGGGTGAGGCAGGTGGACGATAGAGCCTGACCATCCATGGTATGTGGGATTCATGAGCACGGCAGCCTCTGGGGAGATGTCAAGGGAGGAAGTGTGAGTCTTAGTTTATGTAGGCCCACACACTATTTATATAAAACATGAATTAAAATTATATAGTTAGGGACAAAAATCACCTAGTCCACCTGGAGATAAAAGTGCTGTGCCGACACAGAGTGGTAATGCCAGTAATAATAAGCTGAACTTTTTTGAGTACTTAGCATGAATTAACTAATTTAATCTTAGTTGAATTCTTTAGAGACATGTAGGTATTATTGTTACTTTTACTTTAGAGATGAGCAAAGTGTAAAGACCCAGTAGCTCATTTACTTGCCCAAGGACACACAGGTAGAGCATGTCAACAGCAGGCTGGGATCAGCACAGACCATCACAGAAGACATCTTGGGAGACTTGAGTTTCAATCTGAATCTTTCCCAAGGTGATATAATAATGTAATTGAGACTTTGGCCCCTCTATCCTGGAAGTGCGATGAGTGGTCTAAATCAGGGATCCCCATTCAGTCTCTTTAGCCCTCAATTTCCCCATTTTGTCACTGAGTCACTTTAAAAGTGGAACATGTGACATGATCTTGGACAACATTTAACACATTCTAAATCTTGGAATGGGGCAAGAGGGAGGAAGGCGGATGGTGCTGAATTCCCACGAGGCAGGGTTCAGCAGCCAAGGGGACCCATGGTCTAACTAACCCACTCTGTCTGTGCTCCTGTTGCAGGCTACGTGCAGGCTTGCCGAGCCCTGATGATTGCCTCCTCCGTCCTGGGTCTGCCGGCCATCCTCCTTCTGCTGACGGTTCTCCCTTGCATCCGAATGGGCCACGAGCCTGGTGTGGCCAAGTACAGGCGGGCCCAGCTGGCTGGTGTAATGCTCATTCTGCTGGGTAAGACAGCTTTCTATACAGCACCCCAACTCTGCGTTCACCCAGTGAATCTCAGATTTTGCTGTTGCTTCAAGTTCAAGAGCCATACAAAAGGAAGCCAAGGGATTCATTCCACTGGGGAGAAGACAGCCACAATGTGTCATGATCAGCTTACACAGAGGGATAAGTAGTGCCTGTGGGCATCACTGAACATGACAATAACAAAAAAGAAAAGGGTTTTGAGGGTGCACCTAACAGAGAGGCCAGAGGAGAGTCACTCAGTGGCTCCCCCACTCAGGCAGCAGGATGGGATCCCTTTGGGAAACGCCTTACCCAAGTCCCACAGCAGATCAATCCAGGCGGAGTTTCTCAGTGTCAGGCCAGGCAAAGATACTTCTTGAAATCTTCTCAGGTGAGTCTTATGTGCAGCCAAGGGAGAGAACTTCAGTTAGTATGTAAAGCAGACGAGAGAAAGAAGAGAGCAAGAGAAAAGTAATATGTTGAAGGTAGTAGCTGATGTGTTATGACCTCATCTTTGATTCAGTAAGCACTGAGTACCTGTTGAGTGCCAGGCACCATGGGAGGCACTGGGGATGTTGGGAAAAAGAGGCAGTTTCTGATTTGAGGGTGCTTGGATGTCTCCATGGAGTGTGGTGTGTGCTCATCTAAGAATGGTATGCAGGCTGTGCACATACAGAGGAAGGCCCCAGACCAGAAGAGTTTCTCAGAGCAGAGGACCCTGGCGATGAGTTCTAGAGGTGAGGAGAAGGGGGTCAGGTCACTGGTTGAAGGGAGGGAACAGCCCAGGCCAAGGAAATGGCATGTGCTTCTTCAGTTTTCCTGATTACTTCTGCACACAGAGGGCTTGATTTAACAGTTTAGGGGAGGGTCCTTCTAGCTCTGCTCTCTTCAGTGATTTCATGTCTCTCTCTCTTTTTTTCTTGAAAGCTAATCTCATCAGCACATTCAAATCTTAATGGAAGACATGAATTTTAAGAATTTATTAAGCAGCTCTTATTTCCAAGTGTACTGATATATCAGTGAGGAGAAACTGGTCTGCATATGGGTAAGACATACAGTCAGGCTCTTCTGGGGCAAGGAATTTCCATCCTCCAACTGTTCCCAGGCCATATGCTTGAGGGTAAGGGTAAGGGGTCAGTGTTCTGTATGGGTCAATATCACTTAGTGACGCTCACTCCTGGTGACACCAGTGAACTGAGGGGACATGAGAGGGAGGAGCACCATTTCCCAAGATTGCAAAGGGATGGAGATTTTCAGGGCTTGTGAAGCCACAGAGAATTCAGAAGAGTTGTGTGTGTGTGTGTGTGTGTGTGTGACAATGAAATGTGAGAAGGCCACTGCAATTTCCAGAGAATTTGGATATGGACATTTTGATTCCGGCCACAAAGAATTTGTGTGGGCGTGCAACATGAAGCACACAATCAGTGTTAGACGAATCAGTGCTTCATCCAACTCACGGAGTCCTCTCTTTTAAGTGTCTTTGGCAGTCATATCTCTGTATATGAATTCCTTTCCAGCAGGCAGAACAGAGCTCTCCTGCAAGTGAACTGGTGGGTGGGCTCCAGGTGGAACCTTTCTCAGCCCAGACCTCTGCCATGGCTGCCTGCTTTCCTTCTGTTCTCACAGAAACACCAGGGGCTTTCTCTTGCTCTGAGGATGCCCAAGCCAAAGAATGGGTGTTGTGTTAGGTAGTCATTCTTAGAAATTCTGGCCTTTCTTACAGGAGTCGCAGAATATCCACTAGTAAGAGAATACTTTAAAAAAACAAACCCCAACCCTGTGGAAAATATATCAAAGTATGTTTAGACAAGTTGATTTTTAAAAAACCTCTAAAAACAACTGAATTGTCCAGTTGAATAACAAGTGTTATGTAAAAAATAACAGTGAGTTGTTTGAAACTTCCTAGCTGGATTAAAGTTTCTCTTTGTCTTTTCTCCTAAGTTTGTGGATGTAGATGGAATGATAGAGAGCAAAGTGAGGTGGGGCCGGGCAGTGGTGTGAGTTCTCAGTGCCTGTTTGCTGCCCAGGGGAACGGGAGGAGGGTGGAGGAGTGCCCTGACACCCCCACCGCTGCCCCAGGGCTGCCCGGTCCTGGCCACTCCCTGTTAGGATGGGACCAGGGCACTACTCCTTGCCCTCTGGTGGCACGTTTCCAGTGTTACCCGCTTCCTGTCTAATTGCCCCAGGCGGGATTTATTTCTCAGTAGGTGGCCTCCTGCCTTTGGGCTGGGTGTTGTTTAGACTGAACGCACCCGACTCATTCACAGCTGGAAATCTAAAGCTCCTTGTCTCAAGCATGGCACCTGCCGGCCTCCTCTGGGTCTTCTCCCCACATAGCCGAGTACCTCCTTTCCCTGCTGGCAGCGGGTGGGGGGAGCAAAAGCACATGAAAGCTCCCTTTGTGTTGCTCTGGAGTGGCTTCTACAAGTCCTGGGAGAAGCCAGTGCTGAGCTCCTGCTGGGTCCTGGGGTCACCGATGGTCCTCCAGCTGTGGTGAGGTCGCTGACCAAAGGAGGCCAAGCAGCCCTGGGACTTGGGGGCCTGGAAACTGGAAACAGTGTTGAAACTAATCTTGATATGGAAACTGTAAGCACTATTCATTAAAACCAATTTTCCTGACCCTGACAATCTTTAATTATTTTTCTGAAACCTTAAATTTTGATGTCTTTTGTACAACAGCTTTGTCTTCTCAGCAGTCTAAATTTAATGGTGTGAAGATTTGGCTCCTGCAATGGGGAAAGGGATCAAAGCCCAGTGTAGCACGCGTCTCAGATTGGGGATACATCCAGGCAAATCTGATCTGTGTCTGTTCAAGAGCCCCTGACAAGGCAGGAGGTGCCTATGCCCTGAGTTGCTTTACTTGATCATTTGGAGTCAGAACAACTATACCGAATTTCAGATCTACTACAGTGCTGCTGTACTTAATGCAGTTACTTAATGTCTTGGAGTTCTTATATAAAATGTGGACAACAATGCTTACTTCTGAGGTTGGTAAGAATAGACACACGCAAGTTTATTCAGCATTGGGTTTGGCACGTAGTAAGTGTTCAACAAATGGTTGCTATTATCTTTGCTGTTGTTGGTTAGAGGAAATAGAGAGCTAACCCAGAGGGCAACTGGGCATTCTATCGCTCCTCTCTAATTTCTGCAGGGCCGTCTCCACACATGGAACTGGTAAGGACAGACAATGAGCTGTTCTTGGAAACATTAGGCTGCATCCTGGTCTAATGGAAATATTCCCTTTGTTTACTTTGTAGAAACCAGAGTGGAGGGTTCAGTAGTTAGAAGTTTTTGTATATTTCATTATTAAAAAACCACATTAAGCTACCGAACTGAAAACACTCCAGCTTAGTTCTGATTCAGTCTACTCTTCACCTTGCTGTAAGTTAGAAAGCTCTTGCTTTGGATGTTTCTTGTGGAGGTTGGGTGGGGAATGAACGAGAGGAAATGTGTTCCTTCCTAAGTGGAATCTTTTCATCTTCTTTTCTCTGTTTTAAATAATATAGCCCTAGGATCCCTATTTATGTTGGAAAAAAGTTGTTTTAACTTGGAACTCACAGTTTAATAATGAAATGGCAGTAAAATAAAGGGTGTGTGCAGGTGAGACAAGTTGAGCTTGTCATGTGCACAGAATCAGATGTTCTACAGGGTAAGGTAATCCCCGGGGTATGGAATAAACAGTGATGTCCTTAATCCTGAGGGTTTTAGGAGAATAGTTGGAAAAACTCTTCCTTCAAACTCATTAGCATTATACAAACAAGTCCCTGATTTAAATCAAATTTCATATGGGTAGTGGAAAGGATGTGGCATCTTAGTATGGTTGTGGCTTAAAATGACCTTATCAGTATAACTGGAAGAATGAACTGTTTTATGAGGTCTCTCCCATCTCTAAATTCTATGATTAAAAAACATTATTAGCAAGTAACCATGAGACTGGCTTTTTGAAAAAAGGTTATGGGAAAAAAAGATAATGATGTGTGGAGTTGCAATAAAAGGAAAAATGTGGAAAACAGGCCAGGAAAATAATGTACTCACATGTTCCATTTACTTGATGATTGTTGTAAATGTTAGATAGTCATAAAAGTCATTGTAAGAGGCATAGGTCTTTTGGCAGCTGCTTTCTTAAGTCAAAATTTAGAGATGGACAAATAAAAAAAGAAAAGCTAAAATTTTTCTCTTTTCAAATGATAAGGAACCAGTGAATAAATATGATTCCAACCAACAGCTTATTAGAAATTTCATTACTTGTTTTCTTGAATTCACAGGTACAAAGCTAAAGCTAATTGCTCTTTCGATTATGTGTTATAATAGTGTTGACTGTAGAAGACAGTGTTCAGTGCATTGTAAAATGTTTCAGTGAAGGGGGATTTAAAAAATGTCTTTATTGTGGAAAATTTCAAATATATATAAAAGTAGAAAGAATAGTACAATGAACCCCTATGAACCCAAACTTATTCTTAATAATGATCAACTCACCGCCAGTCAGCTTCATCTATGTACAACTTTTCTTCTGGTCCCCAGATTTTTTTTGAAGTAAATCTTTGACATAACATTAAGGAAGATTTTTTCCCCTGTATTACTAAATATAAGTCAGAGTAATTTAAGTGATTTACAATGAAATTATTACTTTGTGCTAGATATGATGCATTTCAAAGTCCTTTCAGTGCTTAGTTCTAAAAATCACAAAGTGCCTGAAAACAAGTGTTCAGGGGAGCCAGGAGAAATGGCAGCATCTGGTGCTCGCCTGTCTTTCTGGGCCTCTTTGTCTGTCAGTTTTTCTAAGTTATTACTTCCAAAGCCAAACACACCATCCCAGTTTTATTTGACTTCATCACACTTAACTTCATATGTTAACATGTGTTATATAATCCCTAAAGAAATTTAAAGCTACATTGCTTTAAATTTGCCTTTTCAAATTTTTTCTATGTTTGGCAACATCAAGATCATTGTTAACTTTTAATAAAATTATTCTATCAGTTAAAAACACATTGTGTTTATTATTTGAAACTTATCAAAAGAGGCAGACAGTTTTATTCTATGAAGAGCAAGGAACTCTACTCATGAGAGGACCACTTCCAGGAGGTTCTGTATCTGCATAGAGAAGCTTCCTTCTCTCCTTCTCTCCTTCTTTTGTTTTCTTAGCTAAGAATGTTTCCAGTTTTCTCTTTCTACTCCCTTGCAAATGGTAGATCTCCCTCACCTCCAAATTGTGCAGTCAACTATTGCGTCTTCTGAAGGAAGAAGAGGAGAAACTGAATGAAAAATCAATGTTAAAATTTCCATCTTGTTGTTAAAGACTTAATTTAAAAATAAGTTCTGTTGACATAAAAAGAAAAGCAATTCCTTTTACCTTTCTACGGTTTTCTTTGCTTTTTAAGTAACTGACTTTTTAAGAAGAACATTTTCTTAATTTTCTCCAATAATGGAGAGAATGATTACAAACTGTGTGTGTATGTGTGTGTGTGTGTGTGTGTGTGTGTGTGTGCACCTGCAAATCAAAATAAATCTAGCAGAGCTTCTTTAACTTTAAGAAAACCAAAAATGATTGCCAGTTCTATTGATATTTCACATCTTTTAGTTAAGTAGTGATTTGACTTGCAATTTTAACTTTACTGATTAAAACATCCCCTTCCTCTTCAAACCATGCTGAAATTAAGTAAATTCTCCTTTTTTAGTTTCTGAACATTCTTCTTTGTGAGTTCAATGGAAGGTCACTGCTCCCAGTGAACCTCTCATTTCCCTTCATGTTGTGTGGCGGTCTGTCATCTTCCAGTGGTTTTGATGTGGTTCATCTTTGAGAGCCGCAGGAATTCCACCCAGAGTTCATTTATCTACTAGGAAATTAAGAGCCTGCTGGTCCTCATTTGTCTTGTTCTGTGTGGATTACAAAGGAAGGAAATCTTTAATGAAGTAAATCATGAGCTTGTAACTTTAAGTGTGTTAAAGTCACATTAAGATTTTATGATTTTTGGAAAGGTAATACTCCCTAAATCTTTTGTTTAATACTCCCTAAATCTACACAGCAACTGTTTCATTTTTACTTGCGAGTTTACACCTCCAGATAAAAACTAAGCTCAAAAGGCCCTCTCATCTTATGGGTGTACCAACGCGATTTCTTATGAAAACCTGAAAAGTGCTGCTCTCATTTTCAGTACCTACAGCTTTTCTGTTTGTCTACAAAATAATGCTAATTCCCCAAAGACAAAAAAAAAAAAGATTTTGGAAGTGGAAGTCAGTTTTGGTGTGTTTGAAGTGGAAAGTAGACTTGAAATGAGAGTAGCTCTCATCTGTCCATCCACCCATTCACTCATCCAGTCCTGTAATTCATTATTTAAATGTTTAGACATTTTTCTGATTTTTACTTTTTCTGGTGAATTGTATTAGAAGAAAATCTAACAAAATCCTTGAAACACTCAAAATCAAGACTGATGATTACTTTTGGAATATTGAGCTGGATTCTTTTCCTATGTGAAGATAACCTTGTTTTATTACTTTGCTTAGGAAAAGAGGGTAAATTAAATGAAATTAGAGGCAATTTCTTATCCTAGTCTGTAAAATCTAAACCAAATCTGAAAGTTAAGTTAGGTTTATATGAAAATGTAGGGAATGCTTTTTGTGTGTCTTTGTGTGTTTTATGTGTAAATACAATGTAATTGAAAAATATCAAACTTAATTTGAACCATAAGATGTTTTGAAACCATTTAATTGTATACAGGAAAGATTGGTTGGATTGAACCAAATCAGTTGTTTGGGAATCAGATCTTTCTTTTTCCCCTACAGAATTTAGCTATTCACTACTCACTTTTCCCCTATAGTCAGACTTGGGTGTTTGGAAGCCCTTGCTAGCGTGCTGATTTTGCACCTAGCAGAACGAATGCCCACTTTTGGGGTAAGGGGTGTGTAGCTGGATTGTGTATTGATATGAAGAATCTAAAGCAGTTCTCTTTGGGTGAAACACTCCAGAAGTTTCTGTCCCTTGTTCCAATAGAGAAAAAGGCTTTCCTCTGTGCTCCACTAAAAGTATGACTATGACAATAGCCATACAATTCTTCAAGAGTGCTGGCTTCAGAATCTGTGGCCAGAGGAAAAGAAAGAAAAAGACTTTTT